GGATGATCAAACTTTAAAAACCAAGCAAAAGTAAAATCACAAAGATGACACATAAGACACAATGTTTTACAGTTCAACCTAAGCATCTTGCCTTTGTTCAGGCTGCAACTCGGTCCAAAAAAAATCATGTACAGAGCAACATTGCAATCCTGTGATATCATTCTTGATGTTACCCTATGATTTAAGCTGCTCCCTTGGCTCTTGCACTTGGAGCAATTAGAATTTCCAGACAGTTCAGTGGCAAATATTTCACGCTCTCTATAGTGCAGCATTAACCAGCCAGTGGTTAGTTCATTCTGACCAAGAATTAATCAAACTCATTTACAAAGCACATGGTTGTAAACAGGGTGGTTAAATACTGGAATAAATTGCCTGGGGGACTGTGGAATCTCTGTCACTGGAGACATTTATGAGCAGGTTAGACAGACATCTATCAGGGATAATCTAGACAGTGCTAGGTCCTGCCATGGCATGAGGGCAGGGGACTGGACTCAATAACCTTTCCCTTCCAGTTCTATGATTCTATGAATACTAATTTAAAACTTTCAAAATTTTCTTTCAGTTTTGCATGCATTGACTACCATTCACAGAAAGTTATAAAAATAAAGTCAACTATGTAAGGTTGAATTTTGTTAAAGGTTAGGACCTACATCAGCACATGCAAGTCATATCGTCGCCATTGCAGATGTTTACAAATGCTGTGTATTATCTCTCTAGTCTGCCTCCCTGCTATATTATTAACAGCCTGACTTTTGTTCAAACACACAAGAAAGCTATTCACTGAAACAGACAGCAAGCACAATCCTTTTACATTTCAACCCCATGTCCACGATCACAAACACAGAGTGAAGGGAGGACATGGTGCATGTTCTAGGTTTGTTACAGTTTCCTAGTGAACGTAGAATTTTATTGGGGTTGCAGCCAGTGTTCCCTCTAAACTTAGTGTCAGCACAGCTTCACAGGTGATTAACGAGCCCCGCACAGTCAGAGGCTCAAGGCTCCATGCACAGAGCTGACTGACTGGGTGGGGCTGATTAATCACTTGTGAAGCTGCGCTGCACAGCTTAGACAGACCACTGATGGCAGCCTATTTTCCTGTGAGCTGATACATTTCTCTAAGATCAGAAGAACAGTTAAATAAATAAACATAGGCTAACCTGAATGTCTGTCAACCTTGACAGTATCTTTTTGAAGTGAATGAGGAAAATCAGTGCATTAAGTCTTCTGCAGGTTTTTCTTGTCCTTTTTATAAACTCATAGAACTAGAAGGAACCGTAAGACGTTATCAAGTCCAGTCCAAGCACCATCTAGGCCATACCCAACAGATGTTTGTCTAACCTGTGTTTAAAAATCCCCATTCATGGACATTTCATTAACTTTTAAGGCAATTTATTCCAGTGCCTAACTACCCTGACAATTATAGAGCTTTTGCTAATGTTGAACTTAAACCTCTCTTCCTGCAATTTAAGCCCGTTGCTTCTTGCCCTATCCTCAGAGGCCTAAGGAGAACAATTTTTCTGCCTCCTCCTTGTAACAACCTTTTAGATGTTTGAGAATGGTTATCATTTCCCCTCTCAACCATCTCTTTTCCAGACTAAACAAACCCAATTCTTTCAATGCTCCCTTGAATAATTTTTGTTGCTCTTCTCTGTGTCTTTTCCAGTTTGTCCACAATGCTCTTGAAATGCATCCCCCCAGAATTTGACACAATACTCCAGCTGAGGCCTAATCAGTATAGAGTAGAGGAGAAGTATTACTTCTTGTGTACTGCTAACCATACTCCTCTTAATATATCCCAGAATGAGGTTTGCTTTTTTTTTTAAACAGCGCCACACTGTTGATTCATATTTAGCTTGTGGTCCACTATGACCCCTAGATACTTTTCTGCAGTATTCTTTCCTAGACAGTCGCTTCCCATTCTGTAAGTGTGAAACTGATTGTTCCTTCCTAAGTGGAGTATTTTACATTTATCCTTGTAAAATTTCATCCTATTTACCTCACACCATTTCTCCAGTTTGTCCACATCCTTTTGAATTATAATCCTGTTCTCCAAAGCACTTGCAACCACCCTAGCTTGGTGGTAGCTGCACATTTTATAAGTGCATTCTCTTTGCCAGGGTCGGGCAAAAAAAAATGGCAGCCCTCAAGGTTACTCCCTGGTGTGCCACCACTGCTATGTTTACCTGCACTTCTGCAGGTATCAGAGGCTCACAGGTCTGGTTTGCTGCAATCACCATTCACAGCAAATATGAATAGTGGAAAGTTTCACGGACTGGGATGCTGCTTCCCGCCATTCACATTGGCCACGAACAGCAATTCGCAGCCAACCACAGCTGCAATCCTCCAATACCTGCGAAGGTGCAGGTAAACATGGAGATGGGGGCCCACCAGAGATTAATCCTGTGGACTGAATCTGGCCCCTGGGCTGGAATTTGCCCACCCCTGCTCTATGCCATTAACTAAATCATTGCTGAAGATATTGATCAGAACCAGTCCCAAAACTGATCCCTGCAGAATCCCACTCATTATGCCCTTTCAGCATGACTGAATCACTAATAACTACTCTCTGGGAATGAGTTAGCTAACCAGTTATGCATCCATCTTATAGTAGCACTATCTAGGTTTTATTTCCCTAGTTTATTAATGAGAAGTTCATACTAAATAGTATCAAATGCCTTACTAAAGTCTAGTCAGACTACATCTACCACTTTCCCTTATCCACAAGGCTTGTTAACCTATCAAAAATGCTAAAAGACTGATTTGACATGATTTTTTTTTAACAAATCCATGCTGTTATTTATCACCTTATTATCTTCTAGATGTTTGCAAATGGATTCCTTAATTATTTGCTCCATTATTTTTCCAGGTACAGAAGTTAAGGTGACTAGGCTGTACTTCCCTGGATTATCCTTATTTGCCTTTTTTTTTTTAGATAGGCACCATATTTTTCCTTTTTCAATTTTTAGGAATCTCTCCCATTTTCCCTGATTTTTCAAACATAATAGCTAATGATTCTGATGTCAACTCGGTCAGCTCCTTGAGAATTCTAGGATGCATGACAACAGGTGCAAGTGATGCAAAGACATATAATTAGTTTAAGTAATTTTTAACTGGTCCCCAGCCCCCCGCATTTTAATTTTTAAACCACTGGAATTCACTATGTTTGACATTGGATCACCACCAACTTTCTTGGTGAAAACTGAAACAAAGAAATCATTAAACACCTCTGCCATTTCCATATTTTCTGTTATTTTCCCCCTTCTTCATTGAGTAATAGGCCTACCGTGTTCTCGGTTTTCCTCTTTCCTCTAATATATTTGTAGATTATTTTCTTGTTATCCTTTATGTCTCTAGCTATTTTGAGTTTATTTTGTGCCTTGGTTTCTCTAATTTTTCCCTTGATGCTTGTGTTATTAGTTTGTATTCATCCTTCTAAATTTGACTACTTTCCACATTTTGTAAGATTATTTTGATTTTTAAATACTTCGTGATGTCCAGGTTAAGCTAGGATGGTCTCTTGACATACTTCCTATCTTTCCAACGCAGTGAACCATAGAATCACAGAACTGGAAGGGACCTTAAGAGGTCATCAAGTCCAGTACCCTGCCCTCACTGCAGGACCAAGCACCCCCTGATAGTTGTTTATCTAACCTATTGTTGAATATCTCCAATGATGAAGATTCCACAACCTCCCTAGGCAATTTATTCCAGTGTTTAACCAACCTGGCAGTTAGGAAGTTTTTCCTAATGTCCAACCTAAACCTCCCTTGCTGCAATTTAAGCCCACTGCTTCTTATCCTACCCTCAGAGGTCCAGGAGAACAAATTTTCTCCCTCTTCCTTTTAGGTATTTGAAAGCAGCTCTCATGTCCCCTCTCAGTCTTCTCCTTTTTCATACTAATCAAACCTAATTCTTTCAATCTTCTCTCATAGGTTATGTTTTCTAGACTTTTCTTCATATTTGTTGCTCTTCTCTGGACACTCGGCAGTTTCTCCATATCTTTCTTGAAATGCAGTGCCCAGAACTGGACACAATTCTCCAATTGAGGCCTAGTCAGAACAGAGTAGAGCAAAATAATTACTTCTCATCTCTTAATTTTATCTGACATATCCATGAATAATGGATATCTAGCTAACAAAAATCATTCTGGATGACGGCTGTTTCTAGACTAGAGTGGTTCGACCTGTATTACTTTTCTAATGAAGTAAAATTAAATAAAATAATTCATTAAAAAGAGTTGATTTTATTTTAGAGAAACCTGAAAATAAGTACAATAATACACAAATCACATTAAGATCTCCTATTTTTAGAATGAATGATTATGATAAATAAGCCATTTACCATAAATGTAATTTAGTAAACAAAATGGAAAGTATCTTATGGGGCACATTATTAAACTGCAATGCATTTATTTATCAGTCTTGTTCTCAAAATCAGTTAATGCTATATCGCAATTTCCAGCTTCATAACATTTTTCCAGAAATTTATCGCTGTATGAAATGTATTTTATAGTCAATATAATATTGTTAGATATGTCTAGTAATATTTTCCTAAAATTGTACATAATCTTCCCACAAACAGCAAGTAATCAATTGACACTAAGTCCCAGCAATAACAACCTTAATTAAACTGAAATATCCTAACCTTGATTTCCTAATCTTCAACTTTGAGAAAGAAATCAGGTTTCAAGTCTTAAATTACCTCATGCATATCTTGGATAGCACTAGACCATTTTAGTTCAGGAGAAGTTATCTACCTCAGCTAAAAAGTCTATATATATTGCCAGTAGCTCTTCAGGGAAGGCCGTGGGGAAAAAAATCTAAAGAATTACAGGATCCCATAAAATTATTAGATTTGATTGACCCAAGAAAAAATAAAACTAATTCTAGAAAAGGTCTACTCATTTACTACCTAGAAAATTAAAAAACACAAGTGGAAATGCAACATATGGGTTAGGTTTATTCTGTATTTGAAATAAAAGAGTAATCTTCTTCACTTACCAGTTTTGGATTTCTGCTTTATGAGGTGCCTGTGGTTGGTAAACATTGTTGTGGAACCCTGTATAGCTGTCCTTTCCTCCAGGTCAGATTCTGGGATGGGAGTACAGACACCTAGTTGAAAATAAGACAGAAATTCTTCATGTTGTGCATAGGCAAGTAGAACATTAACAAGAACAAGAGGTGATAAACGAAGTGGCAAGAGTACCAAAGAATGTACGAAATTGGAATGGTCTAGATCTTAACCCTAGGTGAAAAATACTTTGAATAGAAAGTGATTACCATTCTAATTAGTTTATTGATTATGCATTGGTGATTCCTCACTTTACTCATATGTGCCATCTAAGGAATATGTTAAACCTATAGTGTAGGTAAAATTCATTCTGTACAAAGGATAGAAATAGATCTTAGCATGAATTGTATCACGTGGTCAAGCATGTATGAAATAATTCCACAGTGAGCAAAGACTATGAAATCCACTAGTTTGCCACAAAGGGGTGTGTCAATGATATTTTTGGGTGCATAATTATACACACTGATTTTCAGGATTTTCTATTATAGATAGCCTGGTAGCACTATGACATATTGCACTACCCACCATCACGCTGCCATGGGGGTGATCCCAGGATAAGCCGACAATTTCTCCTTTGTAATCTGCAATATTTACCTCTATATCTTCATGTAGATACTCCACTTACCTACATCACTGCGTATTTAAGTAACAATAGGTTGAACCTCCATAGTCCAGAACTTTCTGGTCCAGAAACATCCGTCATCTGTAATTTTTTTAGTTAGCTGGATGTCCACTTTTCGTGGCTGTGGCCACAGTTCTTGTGGTCACATAAAATTTCTTTACAGCTACCAGTCCTGGCTCTCAGTGTTTTGTTAGCTCTAATTTATCCCTAAATGTCCTCTAACAACCTGGTAAGTAGTAGAAGTGTTCATAATGCTGCCAGACAATATTGACCCTCCCATGGTCCAGACAATTCTCTCATTCAGAACCAGTCAGGTCTCAAGGGTGCCAGAACAGAGAGGTTCAACCTGTACCTGGAACTATCTTAAGCAGCATGTATAAACTGTTATTTAAAATGTTAAAATGGGAAAACCTAGTATAATTGTTACTGAGCATAAAGGAACCAGCTGTCTATACCAACCAGTGCCATTGCTCACCTGGAGGTAACTGCAGCAGTTTGAAATGCATTAGGATGATCCAAGTCTGTTTCAAAAAGTCTGCTACCAGTGCCTCTGCGAAAAGGGCTGCTACTCAAAAGTAAAGGTATGAACCTGCTGGGTCATACTTGTTTCTTCTTTAGGATGACTTGAAGAAAGCAGATTACAAAGGAGGAGGAGGAGACACCATAAGCCAAAATGTGGAGGGGCAGAGCAATGGAAATAGGACTGATGGAGAAAAGCTTCCTTGCATAGCTAATTAGCATTCAGCACAAGTGTTAAGCATGTTGTGTTTATTATTTTCAGTATAAGGCTACGTGGGCAGCTTCCATTGTGTCCACATAGATCTGACAGAAAAGAAGAATTTATAAAGTTACTGGATTTTTACCTTAGCTCAGCGATGGTAAACTTTTTGAAATATTTCTCAGAGCAGAAAAGTTTTATGCGTTTTCTCTTTTAACGCAACTGTCAAGGCCTCTCTTGTTTTGTTCAGCAGCTTCAAATCAAAGACCATGAAAGGCTCTGTGTATTACTGCAAGCATATGTTTACCTGCTTAAAGTTAAGCTCTTGCTTAAATACTTCACGGGATTATGATCAAAATGTACATCACACATTCTGAATGAAAATCAGGGCCCTTCTGAGATTACCACTAGTATGCAAACAAACCTCTTAGTCTAGTGTTTAAAATCATCCTTTACTGTCTACTAAGAGAGTGCATTTTTAAACCATCATATTAACTTCTTACTCAAAACAAAAAGATGTTAATTGTTTATAATCATTTTCCACTGTTGTGTCATGCTCCATGAATGATACCTGTTCTTTGGCAATATAGCATCTCTCATTGCAAAATAAAAGAAAAACATTGAAAAAAATGCCAGCTTGATTGGTCTTGGAAAACATACTGTATTTCAGAAGAACCAGACTCTCTAGCAACTTTGCAGATTTGCCCAGATCCTTAAATGGCCCCCTTAGGGATTGACCTTATAACCCTGAGTTTAACAGACCAATGTTCAAACCACTGAGCAAGCCCCACCCCATGCTGATGGTAAACCTTATGTGAAAAAGAGAGGTATTAGCACAAGTCGGGATTCCTAAAATGAAAGAGGGGTTGGGGGAGATCTAATAACAGGAAATACAAACACTATATGTTAATATATTGTAATGTGTTGCTATTAAATACAAATATGCATACAACCAATGAAAATAAGGTATTTGTTAATCTTCTGCACATATAATCCCACCTACGAGCTCTAACTGTAAAATGTAAACAATACAACTTAAAGAATTGGAAACTGTTCCTCTAAAATTCAAATTTGGATATTTATAATTTTTGTTCTTCAGATAAAATCTGCCCCATTAAAACTTAAATCTGTAAACACATGATAAATCATTAAAGATTCATGCAAACAAGCACCTGACAGTGGCATCATCTATTAAACATTGAGATGATGAGTGAAAAGTCATATACCCATTAGTGCATACTGGGTTTCTGGAGATAAATAAAAGACCTTTGAATATTTGGTCTGAAAACTGAAACTCCATAGGTTATGTGGCCTTGAGAATTAATGGCTTTCAATGGCAAACTAACTAATTAGTCATTAACACTATTTTCCACTTGATGGTAACAAATTAAAGTCGGAAAATGTCTATTTGCCCTTAGGCACCCCATGCTATTGGTTGGACGGAAGCGGGACTTCCTGCTCTTGGTTTTTATGTCAGAGGTTTGTTAAGATTTACTCGTCAAATGATACTGTCAAAACATACCAGCACTAAAAGCAAAATTTATTTTTTCCATTACCTTACTTTCCTGATAGAAAATAGTGAGAACTGGAATTTCATCATTTAAACAGAGGGGCTGCGTAAGTTACACACGAAGAAAAAAGGTTCTGCAAATATACTATCAGCCTAATTTTCAACACATAAATACAACATATCCTTCAACAGAATTTGTAAGTATACCAGTTTTTATGTTGGGCTACTTGATTTACTGTTACATAAAAACAAGACATTATTACTATGTTGTAATTATAGATACTGTGGTCACAACTGTACAAGACAAAAGCAAAAAATATGGGGTGAAATACAGGCCGCACTGAAGTCAATGGAAGTTTTCCTATTTACATCAGTAAGACTAGATTTTACCCTTTAGCTTAAATGCTTCTTAGAGCAAGGACAAAGACCAGACACCAGAGAAGATGGGGATACTATTAACTCTGAAATTTTTCTCCATGTACTGGGATGAAGGGAGCATTATATTGGTGTGGTTTAGCATTTGCTCAACTTGTGGAATAAATGAATTTTCAGAAGGGCTCTGAATGAAGACAAAGTGTGAAATTCATGCACTAGGAAGGGCAGGGAGTTGTAACTCTGAGATTTCTCAGAAGGGAATCACAGATACACTAAGGCTGATATTAATGCTGGACTGAAGAGGCAAGATGAAAAAAAATAAGATGTAGGATTTCTCTCACAGTCTGTGACAGAGTGATCAGGTCTAATAGAGGGATCAACACTCTGATCCCAGTAGCCTCAATTAGGGTATGTCTACACTACAAAGTTAATTCGAACTAACGGACGTTAGTTTGAATTAACTTTGATAGGCGCTACACATACAAACCGCTAGTTCAAACTTAATTAGAACTAGCGGAGCGCTTAGTTCGAACTAGGTAAACCTCATTGTACAAGGACTAAGCCTAGTTTGAACTTACTAGTTCGAATTAAGGGGTGTGTAGCCCCTTAATTCGAACTAGTGGGAGGCTAGCCCTCCCCAGCTTTCCCTGGTGGCCACTCTGGCCAACACCAGGGAAACTCTATTGCCCCCCTCCCGGCCCCGGACTCCTTAAAGGAGCACAGGCTGGCTACGATGCCCGTGCCAGGTGCAAGCCTGCCAGCACCCAGCCAGCAGACCCTGCACCTGGCATGGCTCCCGC